TGGAGCTTTTATCATTCTTCTGAACGATATCATCAGAAGAAGAAATCGTTCAGCTCAGAGAACAAAACTTCATCAAAATCATCCACCTGAGCAGCAAATATTCTCCAATGCCTGAGTACTATGTACAACTAATGATTATATCTACCTTAAACCCTATATGAATGAATGACATATACATAGAAAAATTTTCAAACGGACTATATATTATCTAAAACCTACATATGAATATATACTGAAACTTTTTATCACTTCACTGACTGTCCAGTTGGTGATAAGTCGTTACTTTCAATCGTCAAATTATAACTCAATGGTTGTAAAATTTACATTCATCAAGACTTATTAAATGCTACTTATTTTGAGTAAGAGAAAATTCTCTTATGAATCCCTTTATGACATTGAGGAACTGTCATATTTCATTCTCATTTTATTTAAACATATAAACATTGGTACAAGGAAACTTCAGACGTGTATGCGCGACACAAATCATTTGTTTTGTGTGAGGGGTGTGATACTACCTAGGTTACCAAACCAAAGCAGGTGGTTTTCTTGGGGGGGGCACACCCGGAACCTTCGACCTCAAGGTCTGATCCACAAGGCGGTGGACCAATGTTAAGAGATGCAGTCTGATGGTAGCCAATGACCAATAATTGGTTCATACACCTACTTCAGTTTGGGCACCCGGGAAGTATCACATTCCGCACACAAATCAAGTGACTTGTGTGGTGCATATATATTCTGTGACTCTTTGTACCAATATTTATGTGTTCAAATATAATAAATAGACAAAACACCATTTGTTCTCTCAGGGTCCTGGAGACCATGTGCACTGTTGGTTTGGAGTCAGGGTTTCCCAACTCCCTTAGGTGGATCCTTCATATCCACTTACCCGTTTAAAGCACCGGTTATTCACTTTTCGTCTTCCCAATTTCGTAAATAACACCTCTGTCGCGAGAAGGTAGTGAGTAGGATTTATTTGGCGGTGGTTCTATGCACGTGGTCATATGAGGGCATTTCGAGAAGGAGAGCTGATTCGATCACATGAATGATTATTACTGAATGGTTGCTGTCGAAATGTATATGTCGCCTATCCTCGTGTATAATCATCGAAATAAATCGCGTTAGTGAATTGCGGAATTAAATAAGTCAAATAACGAGAATGGATATTTGAATACATATATTTCGTATATAAAGCGTATGGAATAGAGAGAAGATGAACGACGCGGAGTGGAGATGCCTAATAAGCCAACCCCTCTTTGACCAAACGTTAATCAATATTTATAGTCACACAAAAATAAGTTAAAGACATGTGATGAGTAATGGGATAAGAAGTGTACACACACCTATGCGCTTAGATAAAAGCAGTCAAGATTGATAAGCGAATAAATAGCAAGGTCAGAATGTGACTCAAGTATAATGTATAGAATGGGCTGTCCGACACCTAGAATAAGGTATATGGGCTTAACATGTTAACCGACCCTACGTGATATACATTCATGTAGGGCATCCCTACCTAAATTCAATTATCATTCTTTTGAAAGACCCGTGTGGTTCAATAATAAAATGATTGTTTGAGTTACTTACAGTCTTCTGATAAGTCAACGCTATTCAACGTTATATTCACATAGTATTTAGATTGATTTTAATGTAATAGTGTGGTATGTACTACTGATGTCGTCAGATACAAGTAGTATTTATGATCAATCGAAAGTGAAATACCTGTGGGCAAAAGGTTAAGAAGATCAAAGAAAAAAGAATGAGAACTGTAGGTGATTGCTGTGGAAATGAAGGAACAACGAAGTCTGAGACGATTAATTAACACTTTTCTAAATGAATTATTTACTTGTATGGTTCTCAGATTTTACTAAGATGTTCTGTAATTTTATATTCTAATTCATTCGATTACTCGTATTTATGTACTCGTTCACTACAGTAGTTATGTTTCCGGTACTTGAAATTAAATTAATAACTTGAGGTGAATTTACAATTCAACCTATTCAGTATTACATAGTTAATATCAGAATGGGGGTTTATGAAGATTGTATTAAATTAATAATTGAATTCATGAGTTGATTTAAGCTAGACCACCCAACTGCGTCACAAGACAAGCCCTCACATGGAATCTTCAAGGCCAAAGAAGAAGAGGAATACCAAAAGAACACATTACGTCGGGAAATGGAGATAGACATTAGAAAAATCAACAAGAATTAGATGGAACTGGAAAAGAAGGCCCAGGACAGAGTGGGTTGAACAATGCTGGTCGGCGGCCTATGCTCCATTGGGAGTAACAGGCGTAAGTAAGTAAAGTAAGTAATCATGGGAAACCTGGATGCACTAAACGACCGTTTCGTCCTAGTATGGGGCTCCTCAACAGTAGACATTCACGATTTCCCATACGGGATCTGAACTTAGGACCTTCAGTCTCGTGAACGAACACCGTCCAATGCTTCCGAATTTTCCATGGTGATCTATTCTAAATCGACACATAGTTAATAATCTGTTTTGCTTCAAATGTATGTATACACACACACACATACGCAATTTCATATCTCTATGCACAAGATGCACAAGAACCAGTCATCTTGAATAATTATGTGTATTTTTTTTTCATTGTCTTCTAAAGAAAATTATGTTGGTTTTACAGACGGTACAATAAATTAGTTTAATGATCAAAGAATGATTTTCTTTTAATTTTTACAGATGAAGAAAAAAACTTAAAAAAATAGATGAATAAATTTAATTTAGGGTTGAATTCATGAGTCAATTGAAGCTAGACGATCATTGAAAACTTGAAAGAACTGGACGATTATTTCATCCTAGTACAGGATTCCAACAATGTGCATCCACGATCTAGCATACAGAATCCGAATCTAGCATTTACAGTCTCGTGTGCGAACGACGTTCAGCGCATTCAAATTTTCCATGATGGTTTAGCTTTAATTGACTAATGATCTCAACTATTAAATTACTATGATATCTACAAAACCCCTTCTGATACTAATCAACATGTAGTCATTAGTGACTGGCATCAAAAGGTATTTCCTGGAGTTCTAGTGAGAAGCAGTGACGAATGGAGTTCAACCAGGTCTGTTGTGAGATAGTAACTCACTGAAGACAATGATGGACGTGTCGCTCAGTTTCGTGGATTGGTTGAGATTAGACATTAACATCGTTGGATGCCGACTCAGTGATCTTAAAGTCAAGTGCTAGCGTGCGTGACTGATAAGTCCTGGTTTCGAATCCCCGTGAGGTGGGATCGTGGATGCTCACTTCTGAGGAGTCCCACATTAGGACGAAACGGCCGTCCAGTGCTTTCAGGTTTTCCATGCTGGCTTAGATTCAATTAACTCATGAACTCAACTATTGAATTACTATAATATCCACAAAAAACCCCTTTTATTATAATACTGAATAAAGTCATTAATAATGACAAATAAAATATAGAATCTATTTGTAAAAATGAAGTTAAATTTAACATGAATCAAAGTGACTATTTGATGATATACCTTTTTCATTATTAGATTAAATTAAACATGCTAATCGACACAGTTCTAAACATGAATTTAGGTCAAAGAATAAAATATAAATATCATGAAAAGGTAATACATTTTAGGATAGAGTAAAGTTAAATATACAGAAATGAATTAATCGGTAACAGATAGATTGAAATATATGGAACGTAATAATTAATAAATAAGTAATTAATTAACAGTTTAGGGGTTATGGAGATTGTTACGTTTTTGATTGAAATCATGAAGCGATTGATGTTAGACCACCATTGAAAAAGTAGAAACACTGGACTACCGTTTCATCCTATTGTGGGACTCCTCAACGGTAAGCATTCATGATTTCATATAGGGAATTCGAACGCAGGGCATTGAGTCCCGCGTGCGAATGCTTAACCTACTGGACAATTGAGCTGGCATCCAATGGTGTTAATGTCTAAAATCAACTAATCCACGAAGTTGCGCGACCATCTTCCATTGTACTGAGGTAGACATCTGTTTCTATCCGACACGGATTAGCTCCACTGGTCACGGCTTCTCACTAGAACTCTGAGAATTCCCTCACGAAGCTAGTCACTAGTGAACACATGGTAATTATCAGTTTAGGGATTGTGGAGATTGTTACGTTTTTCATTGAGATCATGAACCGATTGATGTTAGACCACTAATAGGACGAAACGGCCGTCCAGTGCTTCCAGGTTATCAATGGTGGTCTAACATTAATCGGTTCATGATGTCAATCAAAAAAATAAATAATTAATATTAGATAGGGAGGTTTGTGTAAATTGTTGTGCTTTTGGATAGTTCAATTCATGAGTAGATGTAAGTTAGACAACCATTGAAAAAATGAATGTACTGGACGACTTTTTCGTACTACTATGGGACTCTTCAGCCGTACCAGTCCACAATTTCCACATGTGGGACTCGAACCCAAGACCTTCAATCTCGCGCATTAATGATTAACCTCTGGAACAATGAACTGGCATCCAGTGGTGTTAATGTCTAATTTCAGGTTTTCAATGGTGATCTAACATTGATCGACTTTTGAATTCAACTAATCTCCACAAATCCCCATGATGATAATAATCATGTGCTCGCTGGTCACTAGTCACTGGCCACGAGATAGATTTCTTGGAGTCCTAATAAGAAGCCGTGACCAAAGGAGTCCAGTCTGTGTCACATGGAGACAGGTATTGACCTTAGACAATTGATGAATGGTTGCACATTTACACCGTTGGATATCGACTCAGTGGTCTAGAGATTAAGCGTTCTTGCGCGAGACCTGTGTTCGAGTCCCACGTGTGGGACTGTGGATGCGCACTGCTGAGGAGTTTCATACTAGGACAGAATGGTTGTCCAGTTCTTCCTGATTTCCAATGGTGATCTAGCTCAGATAGATTCATGAATTCAACTATTAAAATAATTAATACACTCATAACGACGTAAATCAATCGTATTAATTTATCTAATATATTTGTATTGTATTTTTTATTTCAGAATTTTGTCTACCCCTAGGTGATTCATTCTGTACTGAACTTGTCCCGAATAGTTTCTGTTCAATTGAAAAAAATGAATGTTTCTGTAAATATGGTTATTATTCAATTCAAGAAGATGATGGTATCATTTGTAAAACATGTAAGTTGAACTGTTTATGTATACTTACTTACGCCTGTTACTCCACGTGGAGGAGCATAGACCGCCTATCAGCACAGATACAAATATCTTCTCATAACATTCTTAGCTAAGACTTTCAGCTTACTTAATGTGCTATATAATGCATAACAGTGATATAATGGATACTAGAATCTCTCTTGTTTAGCTTTGTTTTCCTGTGAGCATATGAACAAAGTAGGAACGACTATATTTTCAAAATACGAGGAATCTGAAGAATTATGGTCTACTTTCGTTATTAGTACTGCTCTAATAATAGATCTAATCCTAAAATTGTAGATTTGTCGTGATGTGACTACCTAATGTAGAAGATCTTACGTGGAAGTCACATCATTGTCTACACGGACTTGTCGTATCGTGATCTGCGTCTCTAAAGGACACATTTAGGCTAGAGATAGAACAATATATTTAATATAAATAAAAGAGATCAATTACACAAGAATGACCACGCCTGGAAGGCTGAGCCATTCCATATGATTGAACTGAATTAATCCTTCCCGTCTTTTCTATAGTTAACCATCTCTTTTTGTCAATTGTTGAATATAAGTCTTTTCAGTAATTATATGTTCGACTTCAAAGGTCGTATGGTTAGGGTCAAATGCCACTACAAATTTATTTCGTTGGGTGAGGTTATAGTTTATGGATGACCTTTGAGCGACGTTAAAGGGACTTGAGAATGTTCACCTACATACTACGGCTAAATGCGGATTATAAGCCAGCGTGATGAATTAGGATTATTATTTACAGTTGATGATTAACGTTAGGGATTAGATTTCGGGTTTTCATCACGAACTGACATCAGGTATAATGTCAAAACTCTATTTAACTAAATGGATGAGTGAATTTCTCGCCGAAATTCCAGACCTGTTATCGTAAATCTGATTGGTTTGTCCACAAATTATAGTCTCATATTTCGTTGGTTTCTCTTCAGCTACATATACAAACTAAGTCGCCTAGTTATTTCCAATTGATAACATGATTTGGATAATGTGATGAGATGAAGGTTATCAGAATTGTGTGATATATTTATGCAATATAATTCGAACAGTATGATCACACATAATATATTTGTTAAGACATTATAAACGAAAAATAAACGGTCAACACAAGACATTCAAAGACAAGGGGAAACTTAGATAACGATAAAGTATACGATGTGGAAAACAACGCCGGACATTAAATCAGTATTATCAGGGTGGGTTAAGAGTAAGCACAAATTGTCTTGGAATACATAAAGGGGATTTCAGTTCTCGTATAACCAAGGCTTCAATGAAACTTAGTAGAAGCGTTTGAAAGCTTTTGTACAAAACTATGAAGGCTGATTTGATATCAACAGTATGACCGGTCTCAATCAAATATTTCTCAACGGAGTAATATATTTGTCTATCCCGTGACCTTATTTGATCATTGGAATTCATTTGTTTTTGTAGCCATTTAGGTATGCGTCCACCTACCCTTGCTTGCAACTCACGATGTAGATGTTACCGCACATACATGTAAAGTGACAAATGTAATGGGAGATGACATAATCGCTTACATACTGTTTGAGGTTTTGCTGGAGCATAGATCTTGACTTTTCGATAATTACTAGTTGAACTGTATAACATATCTTATTGATAGCTAATTTAAGTCTTGGTTTCAACATGAGACTAATTGAGTTATCTCTGAATGGTAGAGTAATGACAAGTAACAATGAATAATTGGTATGATGTAGAAAAAACTTAGCGCTTGTCTTGTGATACAGTTTCATGATTTCCATATTGTATGTCCTATCCACTTCCAGAGTCTTCTCCTAACTTTCTTCTCAGCTCGTAGTTGGTTTGTTCTCTCCCACAGAAGGTTGTTGCTTATGGTATTCGACCAACATTCAGTATCTTACGTAGGCAACTGTTTATAAATACTTGTACCTTTTTGATTATGGTTGTGGTAGATCTCCAAGTTTCGGCTCCGTACAATAGAATTGTTTTGACGTTCGTATTGAAGATTCTGACTTGAATGTAGGTTGACAGTTGTTTTGAGTACCGTATATTTTTTAGCTAAAGGAACTCTTTCCTGACTTTGCCAATCCTCACATTTACGTCTGCATCGAACCCTCTTTGTTCATCGACGATGCTACCCAGATACATGAAACTTTCCACCTCTTCCAGGGTTTTTCCATCATTTGTGATTGGGTTGCTGTTCTCCATATTGTATTTGAGAATCTTACGTTTTCCCTTGGGTATGCTGAGGACTATTGATGCAAAAGCTGCTGCTACACTGGCTGTCTTGATCTACATTTGTTGGCGTGTTTGAGACATAAGAGCTATCTTGAATACGTTGAGTTTGTCACTATCTTTTACACACTACACACAAATTATTCATTGTTAGCTGTCATTTCTATTTTAACATTATGTTAGCGATTGAAATGAATTAAACATCATAACTTATATGTATAGCTGAAGAGAAAGCAGTGAAATTGAAAGAATTCCGAGTATTCTACGAATACCGTCGGGTTTGCTTTATATATAAAAACAAATATCGATACTACAAGTCGTTTTTTAGGAAAAATATCAATTTTTGTGTGTAAATATTCTCGGATGCATATATATTGGTCTTTTGGATCTTCCTATTCATGTAATTGATCCATCTCTTTTGGCACTTGTACATCTTATGTGAATGACCACGATATTGCACACATGCTAGATTCCATTGTCAGCTATCATCCATCTTTTCTTATGATCCTTGTGACCTGACAGCAATATTGAGGAAGTCCCACAGAATGTATAAATACCGAAAAAGTCTAATTGATTGGAGCACTAAACATCAATCGAATAATCCTAACATCAAATACAAATAAAGTTCACGAATTAATCCCGCGAGTACTATGTTTGAAGTAATTACGAGTCCATCTACCTTGTGAATGGAACAAAGACTCTGTGACCAAAAACCAATAAGCTAGCTATTCTGATGCGTCTCAGGCCCACTAACTAGAAAGATAAGTCCATGTTCAAAACGGTGAAATATAATCCACAAATAGCCGGAAGCACAAGCAATAACAACAGGCACTAATCAAACGTATATATACAACATAAAATTTTCCTTGGGAAGAGTTACAAAATAGCATACTAATAGAAACAACGAACCAATAGTGTTTAAGAATCTCCCAAGTGGGAAATATGACATGAAGGTGAAAAAGACCTCTTTTGCCGCGAAAAAATAGCATTCAAATTTTCAAAATAAAATAACAAAAATAAGATAATTAGCGAGTTCCATGGATCTAACATCCCCAACAGCTAGTATCTACGTTAATAACAAAAAAAATAGAATACCACTAATTCATGGTTGCCCCTTCCAGCCAAACAAGTTGGTGAAGCCTAGTAGGCCCTTCTGGAGAGAAACAGGCCACATCGATGCACGGCACAACTACCGGGGCTAGAATAGCTGTTTATGCAACCAGTTTGAGTTTACCCTGTAAGGAGCAACCCGTACATAACATGCATCACTTTCGTTAATTTTCTGTCGTTTTTTCATCCAAGAGTAATTGTGCTGTATTTCTTTGTGGGGTTCATAATCGGTTTCAGCGTATAGGTCAAATGGATGATTAGCCCGATCTCTACCAACCGGGTTACCACTCACGTTAGTTCATGGGTTATCCATCCTACTATCCAGGAGGTACGGCGCGGACGTGTGAGTCGGATTCTGCCTCTCATACCGCTAATCTATAACTTACTTACTTACGCCTGTTACTCCCAATGAGGCATATTGCTGCCGACCAGCATTCTCCAACCCACTCTGTCCTGAGCCTTTCTTTCTAACTCCATCCAATTCTTGTTCATTTTTTCATGTCTATCTCCGTTTCCCGGTGTAATGTGTTCTTTGGTCTTCTCCTTTTTCTTTGGCCTTGAGGATTCCATGTGAGGGCATATCTTGTGATGTAGTTCGGTGCTTTCCTCAATGTGTGTCCTATCCACTTCCAGCACTTCTTCCTGATTTCTTCCTCCACTGGAATCTGGTTTGCTCTCCGCCACAATAGGCTGTTTCTGACAGTGTCATGCCAACGGATCCCAAGTGTTTTGAGTAGACGACTGTTAATAAACACTTACATCTTCTGGATGATGGCTGTCATACTTCTCCAAGTTTCCGCTCCATACAGTATAACTGTCTTGACATTTGTATTGAAAATCCTGACCTTGGTGTTGGTTGACAGTTGCTTTGATTTACAGATGTCCCTCAGTTGTAAATATGCTGCTCTTGCTTTGCCGATCCGCGCCTTCACATCTGCATCAGATCCACCATGTTCATCAATGATGCTGCCCAAATATGTAAAGGTTTTTACATCTTCCAAATCTTCTCCGTCAATTTTGACTGGATTGGTGCATGCTGTGTTGTATGGGAGAATCTTGCTCTTCCCTTTGTGTATATTGAGACCTACTGCTGCTGAGGCTGCTGCTACACTGATCATCTTCTCCTGAATTTGTTGTTGCGTTTGCGACAGAAGACCTAGATCATCTGCGAAGTCTATATCGTCCAGCTTCATCCTAGATGTCCATTGTATCCCACGTTTCTCTTCAGATGTTGACATCTTCATGACCCAGTCGATCACCAGGAGAAAGAGAAAGGGTGAGAGTAAGCAACCTTGCCTGACACCGGTCTTTACCTCGGACGAGTTTGTCAATTGTCCTCCATCCACAATTTCGCAGTTTAATCCATCATAGGGATTCCGTATGATATTGACTATCTTCTGAGGCACGCCGTATTATCGTAGAAGCTTCCATAGTGTTGTTCTGTCCACGCTGCTAATCTATAAGACTCATATAAAATTTGAAACAAAAACATATTCATTATTTGAGTAGATACATTAAGTGATGTTTTCCTTTTAATTTTTAAATTTAATTGAACAATGAAAAAATACAGTGTTTTCCATGATCCTTTTGATCACTCTGAATTTAATTTACCATGTTTACTTAATTGATTTTTAATGAAGAAAAAACTGAAAAAAATATTTTCATTATATAAAGTTACTTATACTAATATCAAAGATGTTTTCTTAATTGTCTTGTCTTATAATGGGATAATTCAGTATTATCCCAGATTTGAAAAAAACAAAACATGGTAAGCAGTGGGATCCAGGATACATGCTGCTTCGTCCTATTTAAGACTCGTCAGCTAGATGTACCTACATCCTAGAGTTGATGTTCACTTCTAGAAGATACAAGTAAAATAACACCAAGTGAATTTAAACTTTACACTATTGCACAAACTAGTGACTATCAGGACTCAGTAGCTAAGTGGATAACTTGATGACGTTTGAAACGAATGATACTGGTTTTGAGTTCCAGAGTCAACATCAACTCTGCGATGCAGAGACATCCAGCTGACGAGTGCCAAATAAGACGAAGTTGTGGTCGTCCTGGATTAAACTACTAACCGCCACCCATATTTTCTTGGGATGTAATCGTGTTTCGAAAATTCTAACTTTACAAATTGAGCGACATTGTATATAGACACAAGAAATGATAAATCTAAAGTTTATTGACAAGTAACTATGTACTTATTTCATCGTTCTTGGACACAATGCATGTCGTGGAATGAAAGAACTGAAACTGTCTTAATAGATTTTAGCAAAACCTAAGTTTGTGATTTCAAGCAGATTGATTTCAAAGATTGCCCATCATAAAAAGTGAACAGTGATGTCTACTAACTACGTTTTGTATGTATATAACAAAGTGCTATATAAGAATCTAATCACCACCTAAGTAATGACAAAACGATATATATTCATTTTATGTAATAAGTCAACTAGATGAAAGATACACGTTCATGAATTCAATTAATTGTTAGTTCATTTGTAATCAATAAGTCCCAAATAGTTATAAAGTAAACGGATGTTTATTTAAAAAAAGCTCTGCTTGTAAATAGTAATTTTTAACATATATCTTCATTATAAGCAACAATGGATAGTGGATAGCAGTGGAGTCCAGGATACACGCCGCTTCATCCCATTTGGAACTCGTCAGCTGGGTGTACCTGTATTCCAGAGTTGATGTTTATGGCGGGACTCGAACCTAGTACCTTTAGAATGATGGTATATCTAGTTGACGAGAGCTGACGGTACACAAGTAAGTGACTATCAGGACTCAGTAGCTAAGTGGATAACACAATAGCGTTTGAAACGAACGGAACCGTGTTTGAGTCCCAAAGTGAATATCAACTCTCAGATTAAGGTACATCTAGCTGAAGAGTCCCAAACAGGACGAAACGCACTCCTTGGATTCCACTGCCAACCACTATCCTCCTTTACTTATAATACTTGTGACTTAAGGCAATATTGAGATAATCCACACAGGATGCACATATGCCAACAAGAGACAAGAGATAACATTTCATAAAAATGTAACCTTGGAAATGTTTATTTCTTCTTTAATCAAAGTAAATATAGTAACTTCGCTGGTTGAAATCATGAGTCAATTGAAGCTAGACCACCATGGAAAACCTGGAAGCACTGGACCTCGTTTCGTCCTAGCAGTGCGCACCCACGACCCCACGAGATTCGAACCCAGGACCTATCAGTCTCGCGCCAGGAGCTCAACCAACTAGACCACTGCGCCGGCATCCAACGGTGTTAATGTCTAACTTCAACCAATCCACCAAGTTGCGCCACCCTACACCATTGTCTTCAGTGGGTTTCTATCTCACAACAGACCTGGTTGAACTCCACTGGTAACGGCTTCTCACTAGAACTCCAGGAGTGTCTCCTGAAGTCAGTCACTAGTGAGCAGGGCGGGACCGTACATGCGCACTGCTGAGGAGTCTCATACTAGGACGAAACGACCGTCCAGTGCTTTCAGGTTTTCCATAGTGGTCTAGCTTTAATTGACTCATGGTTCCAACCAGCGAAATTTCTAAAAAATCTTCACAAAACCCATTCTGATAAAATATAGTAACATTGAATAAATATTATATTTATACATTCTTTTATCTCAACCATTAGAGAATTAAGATTTACACAAACAAGCAAAGAAATAAGATGCAGAAAACTAAAGTTTCATTCAAGCAACTATATGCATTCTATACAGAATTATTTCAATCATGTATTGAATTTTGTTCAAACTTATTGGTTTACACATTTAAAAAAGTGTACTACCAATAGAGATCAATGGACTTTTATGTACAAATATACAGTACTAAGGTTAACTAAGGTCAAATGTATTCAAATGATACTCACCGAATTATCTCAAAGAACTTCTAACTATAAATTGAAGTTCAACAAATATAGTTTTCATTAGAATATACTAAGTCTATAACATAAAATGAAAGTAAACACTTAAAGGATTGTTCATTGTCTGAAAATGATTTTGTGGAGATTGTAGTAATGATTGAATGATTGAATTGTTGAGTCGATTAAAACTAGAGCATCATGGAAAACCTGGAAGTACTAGATGGCCATTTCGTTCTAGTATGGGATTTCTTAGTAGTACGCATCCGTCATCCCACACGAATGCAGGACCTTCTGCTTCACACATGATCGTTTAACCTGGAGACTGAATATTCTGGGTTTGTATGAGATCGTGAATGAGCAGCGCTGAAGAGTTCCATGCTAGAACGAAACTACCGTTCAATGCTTCAAGGTTTCCATGATGGTCTAGCTTTATCTGACTCATGAAATCAACTATTACATTATTCATTTCTTGTTATTATGATGACACATCAATAGTGTTAACTGAATAGCTTCATTTAATTAATTGTGATTTGTGGCGATTTTCCTATTTACAAACTATAAAACAGATCAACTTGACCTAAAAAATCTTTAAGAACTAAGGTGTAATATGTAGTTGTTACTTCTTAACACCATACCCTTAAGAGTGTACAATATTGACCTTACTAGTGGTTAAACACAGTAGCCCCACATCCTACAGAGTTCTACTTTAAACTACTAAATTAACCTTTAAGGGACGTGAATGTCTAAACTCGATCTACTTGTGATACTGTTCAACCATTTTCTGCATCATGTTTCATTTCTTACACGGTCAAATATTTTCCGATAACCGTTTTCAACTGAATTCTTCTCTAAACCATGTCAGAAGTGGGACAGATGTCACTAAAAGCACTAAATAGTAATCAGACAACATAACGAATTAAATGAATTTTCAATTATAAACTACGGAGTCCCTTTCAGATTATTTAAAGATCATTTTACCATTTAAAATGTATTCTTCGACTGTCATTTTCAAGGTTCACTTCATATTAGTTCCAAACTAAATGATGTTACTAAGCAGTTCCTCGATATATGAAGAGAGATGATTCATAAAAGAAGACATTTCACGATTAGGATTTTTTAGATGACTGTTTGATGAAGTATTTGATGAACCAACATGAAGTAGTTGAACGAATGACTTAGTACTATTCTAATGAACAAGAATACAAGTAAGGACAGTCAAATGTATTTGAACACACAATTACAGAATCACTTAGTGAAATCTGAGAACCATACAGTAAAATGTCAATCAATTGTCTCAAAATTCATTATCCGTTTGATTCCACACCAATTATTCTTTGTTCTCGTTCTCTTTTGTTTGATCTTTTTAACATTCTAACAACCAGACATTTCATTTTTGATTAATGATACATACTACTTATGTCTATCGACATCAGTAGCACAAACCACATTGTTTCAGAATTCCTTCATTCACTGTAGACATTAGCAAAATGATACAATGATGAAATGGTGTGATGGAATTTAAAAATAAATACATAAGGTTAGATAAGTTCAACTTTATGTCAACCTATAGTCTCTCGCGCGAGCGCTTAACCACTAGACCACTGAGCCGGAATCCAACAGTGCTAATGTCTAACTTCAGCTGATCCACGATTGTCATCAGTGAGATACTATCTAACAACAGACCGGTTAAACTTCACTGGTCACTGCTTCTCACTAGAACTCCAGGAAACACCCTTTGGAGAACGTGACTAGTGAGCACATGTTGATTAGTATCAGTGCGGGTTTTATGGAGGTTGTAATTTCTACTGGGTTCGAATCCCGCGAGGCGAGGTCGTGGATGCGCACTGCTGAGGTGTCCTACAATAGGACAAAATGGCCACCCAGTGCTTTCAGGTTTTCCACGGCGGTCTCGCTTCAATTGATTCATGATCTCAACTATTAAAATTGCTACAATGTCCACAAAACCCCTTCTGATACTAATAAATGTTTCCAATGATTTTTATTGTTTCTCAAACTTTGTTTATCAGTAAATTTATAATCATTGTCTATTTTATATATTCCTTAATACATCTTTACTTCATCAATCTTATCAACTGAAAATTAGTATTAACAAATGATAAATGTCAATTGGATAGTGACTGTATATATGTGAAAAATAGTATTTGTCATCCTGGTGCTGGAGCATGTATTTGTCCATCTGGAACTATTTATGTACCAGAAGAACAATCATGTAGTAAGTTATTTTGAATATTATATAATTGTTTTTTCTAAGTAATACTTATACATTTAAACAAATTATACGAGAAGAATATCAACGACGAGACCTATAATTTATGGATGACCTTTGAACGAATCTTATGTGACCTTGAGAAGTATTGAACAATCAGCAAACAGTCAATATAGGATACACTTCTTATATATGGATCAAAAATTTGTCAAGATTAGAAAGAGGTCCAAAGGTTTTAAAATCGTAATGTAGACGGTAGAGGAAATCACCTATATGGCTGCATTATAGTAGGCCTCTGGAGCTATGATGATGTCGAAAAATTCTGTCAGGCTCAACCACATAGCTTCAAAATTGTTTGTGTACATTCGGTTGTTGGATCCACAAAATGCCGCTTGTGAGCAACGACATAATGCACATAACCAACACTATGTATCTATCTGTACGCTCTCCAATCATCCGTATATATTTTAGTACTTGGCAGCAGCCAGTGTTATTGGTGCTTTTACTATCCAATTCGCAATAATTGTCATAATTTGCCTTAGTCTCAATCTGGATCGAGCGAAAAATTCCTATTCTAGCAGATGTTTTCCTCCAACACAACAAAAGACAACATCGCGGCAGTCTTCACAAGGTTCACAAGTCATTTTATTACTACAACCATAAATAAAGGAACTTCATAATAGTCCCATTTGTTGTAGCTGCCTAATTATCACTTTTTCTCTAAAAATCCTCCGTGAATCGATCGTATATGAGCATTAAGTACTGAAATTGGCACTATGACCCTAAGATCCTTCAAACATTTCTGATCGGCTCATCCATAAATTATGGTCTCACCGAAATAACTACAAACGATGCCTGTGAAGTAAACTCTGATTGATAAACTAAAGAATCAAACTTTACCAACAAGTTTCAACTGATGATATCATTTAGAATGAGGTAATATCAGTCAACAAAGATAATACAATCTAGTCTATTCGATATAATTTGTGTACCTCTAAAAATTCCACATATTCCATAGAAATCCAATATGTTGATACAAATTTGACATTTATTTAATTGATAGAATATTTCTCCATCAGTATTATTACTATTTCACTACTGATATTGCTCAGTTCAATATTCTATTTGATTACATCATCATTACACAATTTAAAACAACCAGAACCGAACTAAATAGTTACATTGTCATATATGTGGACCTAATTGTGGCATGTGTTACTGATGTCGACAAATACAAGTAGTATGTATTCTTAGTTAAAGTATTAGTGTTCTATATGATGGTGATTTTTAAAGAGTTTGAATAAATGTCATTTAAGTCTACATTGATATCATGGATGAATGAATGTTAGGCCTCCATTAAAAACTTGGAAGCACTAGACAGCCGTCTCGTCCTAGTATAGGACTCCTCAACAGTGCACATCCATGACCCCGTATGAGGGACTCGAACAAAGGACATCTCGTTTCGTGTGCGAACGCTTAACCTGTAGAACAGTGATCCAGCATCCAACAGTGTTAATGTCTAACTTCAACCAATTTACGATGTTGCGCGACCGTCCACCATTGCATTCAGTGAGTAACTGCCTCACAACAGACATGGTTAAACTCCACTGATCACGGTTTCCCAATGGTGGTCTAACATTGATCCATTCGTGATATCAATCTAAACTCAACAATCTCCCCAACCATATACTGATGATTATTATTTGAACAAAAAATTGCTTTGCTATCATTTTATCATCTTATAGAGTTATAATCTGTTTTGTTTAAATGTCACAGGATTTCAAATCAAAACATTTACAAATGATTTCTGTGATAAATGTGAACGTTTCCATGGTTTATGCTACAGATATGAAAACGACCGAGAATTAAGTCACAACAACAAAAGGTAAGTACTAGAATGAATTATAGCAACTCTCCTATAATCAATTTGTTTAACAGACAGTATTATTCGAACAGTAACCATCTGTTTATTTCTTTATAATATTATGATCACCATCATGTCTGTATAAATGTGTGTACTTGAATCTTATTAATTGTCTTGCCTTTGCATTACCTTACTTCGCTTGGCCTCGTTTAGCCTTTGCCTTGCCACACTTGGCCTTGACTCGATTTGACTATAAATCCATCTTTGTATTCGCTCGCGCACACATATTCGCCTCTCTGCTCCAACTCGCTCAATGTGTTTGTAACTTTCTTATCTGTGCTATCCAATAATAAACTGTAGTCATCGCTTCGTGTTACCTTCTGAATTCATACACCGTTGGTATTTATTTAATAATGGTTATCAGGGTGATTAATAAACGAAGCCTAAGAGATTATCTCGAAGTTAATCTGTAGTGAAGGAGAACACAGGTGAGGAGAACCGAATTACATTCAGCACAAAATTAGAGAGTTACTTGGCAAAATAGGAAAATCATACTATAATACTTAATTTGCAAAATGTTCACAAATTGTCTCGAACTTCGTTGTTCTTGCATTTCCATACTAATTGCTTTCTATTCCCGCTCTTCCTTTCTTGATCTTCCCCATCTTCTGCTGCCAGACATTACATTCTTGACTCGCGTTATATACTACTCATACCAATATAAGTAGCACGAACCATAAAGCCACTACAAAGTAACATACAAATCCAGTGTATATATAGGTAAGTAAAAAGATAGCACTAAACCAAGTTCTAAAATATTGGTAGGTGAAAGACCAGTTTTCTAATAATGTTTGCTAAGTAGCACAACACAATAAGTTGAAATACTGGCTCAAAGTACATTCCATAAGTTTATACGCTTGAAGAAATATTAACGAGATATTTCCTCTAGTTTTAAAACATTTAAGTTCAATACAGGGCGGCTACTTACGACGTCGAACAATAAGATATATGCCTTGAGTAAAAAAATAAACCAGTTTAGTGAATGTAGAAAATCTCATTGTTGAAAGTATTCAAATTTAGTTAATTCATCCCATATAGCATGGATATAATTTAATCCTGTCGATATCTAGTCATTTTTAGTCTACATTTAACTAAAATCATAAGTAATACAATTTCTTTGCGATTTTTAGACACCTACATTACAACACATCACATTGTACGAACATTCCATGTACCTAAATTAATGGTTACTTTGGTTGTCAAAAGAGACATCAGCCCCGTGACTTCCGAAGGAACTCGGTTTTTACCATAAGGCGTCATAACTCTTCTAAATAAAGACCTTCTAACTCCCAGGGCAGAGTTTAAATGGTTTGAATTATATTTTCTGGTTGGCGTTTTTTTAGCGAGTTAGTGTCCTACAGAATGGGGTAGTTGACCACATGACCAGCATTCCTCCTTTATCCGGGCTTGAGACCGGTAGTTGCCCCAGAAGGGCTCCAGGCGGAGTTCTACATTACAACTAGTTAGTCAGATTGGTTGTTTGAAACAATTTACATGAAATATAATCAAAGATTACTAATGGCAAACATCCTAACCTATTTTATATTGTAAACACTTTAAACATTCACTATCTAAAACTTGAATCGTGTATATAATAACAAAATTGCTAGGTCCCTTGTTTTACCAGAGTCTTACGTTTATATAATGTCTATATCCGTATTATTAACAAGATTTTCTCTACACAGAATTACTTATTATTATTATTATTCATTTAACACTTTTATCAATTCAGTTTATATGTTAATAGCATCCACACTAGCTGTGTTTACTCCATCAGTAATACATTTTCTTTTTCTACATTCCATTAATCCCTCATCGAGGAGCATAGGCCGCCCATCACTTCTGTTGTATCACGTCCAATGTATAAAGCTAGAATTTAACACATCCATACGATCGTACATCTTTTGAAATGTATTTGGCTGAAAAAAAGAATTATCTATTGAATTAATTGTTTGGTAAATTATTAGGTAATTTAATGATTGAATTCATGAGTCGATTTAAGCTAGACCATCATAGAAAATTTAGAAGCACTTGATGACCGTTTAATCTTAGTATGTGACTCTTCAGCAGTACCACTACTACAATTTCCACAAACTTTCATTCTGACAATAATTATCATGTGCTCATTAGTGACTGGCTTCAAGATGTGGTTCCTGGAGTTCTAGTAAGTAGATGTGGCCAGCAGAATTCAATCATATCTGTTTTGAAGCAGTTACTTATTGAAGATAATGGTAGACAGTCACGCGATATCGTAGATTGATTGAAGTTAGACATTAACACCATTAGATGCCGGCTCACTGGTCTACAGATTATGCGTTCACGCGCGATTTTGGAGGTTCTGTGTTCGAATCCAACATACGGGATCGTGAATGAACATTGCTGAATCTCACACTAGGACGAGACAGTCGTCCTGTACTTTCAGGTTTTTCAAGGTTGTACAGCTTAAATCGACTTGTGAATTCAACCTGTTAAATTACTACAATTCCCATAAGTATTCATTCTGACCACTTATTAGGTAGCACATTTTTTTAAAGAGTTAATCAGTACGAGGAATCTATTACCAAATATTATTATTGTTATTTCAGAATTCTATATGGATGTAAATGCCCATACAATACAGTTTCAATTAATACTAACCTCCTATGGAATAAACCATATATCAATCAATCTAAAACATTAGTCTCTATTAATAGTACAGAAATAATAAACTATATGAGTGATAAAGAGAATAGTGGCTTCTGCCGAGGTTTGTTAGGTAAGTCTAACATTGGTAGACATAATGATAATTGTTCCATGTCTCTTACACACTAATGCAAATATTTACTTGAAACATTGTTAACGTTGATTGGATGACTTATTCAGCATACAGTGAACCAGAGAATCATAAAACCTATTTATATTAGATAATTTTGATGTTTGATTATATTTCCTTGAAAAAGCTTGAACCAAATTGCCAGTTGATTTACTTAGTTACGCCTGTTATCTCTCATCGAGGAGCTAAGTCCCCATCAGCGCTCGTCATCCAACCCTGTCCTGAACAATCCTTCTCATATCCACTTCCCACTCCCGATGTAATGTGTTCTTTCGCCTTCCACTTTTCCGCATGCCTTCACGATTCAAAGTCAGGGATTGCCTCGTGATGCAGGTTGATGATTTTCATAATATCTGTACTATCCATTTCCATCGTGTTCCCATAATTTCCTCCTCAGATGGAAGATGGTTTGTCCTCTCACACAGTATACTGTTGCTGATGGTATCCGGTCAATGGATGTTGAGTATCTTGCGTCGACAACTATTGATAAATACTTGTACCTTCTTGATGATGATTGTAGTAGTTCTCGACGTTTCAGCTCCGTATAGTAGAACTGTGTTAACGTTTGTATCGAAGATTGTGACTTTGATATTTGTTGAAAGTTGTTTTTGAGTTCCATATGTTCTTCAATTGTAAGAATGCAGCCCTTGTGTAACGTTGAAATTAATTTAAATTCATTCACTGAAATTTTACAAATACATTCTTTCTCTTTAAATCAACTTATTGTAACCATATTTCAATTTCTATGCATAATTGGAAAATAAGTGATCCATATGTTCGAAAAGGTTGCGAGATGTCATTTATCAGAAAGTCAGTCAGTCAGTAACAACGTAGAACTTCGTACGTACGTACATCAGTTCGAGTTGCCACACCACATTAGCACAGAGATGCAGTTGTCGATTCAAATCCCGTAGTGGTAGAGGTAGCAAGAGTATAAGCAGTAATCGGGAAGATTAGGGTTTGGAGATGTTATTTAAAGAGTATAATCCAGTGAAAGAAATTTGGAAAGAGGAAAAAAAGGGACATGAAGAATTCAGAAGATTAGAATTTGGGAGAACACAGAGAGTGGATGCACCTGCGCCATTGCAAACGATTTTGAGCCATGTCATTCAGGGTCTCTAACCAACGGTTGCTGTCATCTCGCGGTCCCCAACCAGGTAGTCTACACCTACCAACATGACTCAGTTCACTTGTCAGTGACTTCATGGACTTGTGCCATGTTTTGGTTTGGCGGCCCCTAGCTTTCTTCCAACCTACTCCTATACCACTGAACATAGCACGTCGAGGCAGTCGGTCGTTGGGCATACGTAACACGTGTCCAAGCCATCTCAACTGATGAAGTTTCACTACTTCATCAATTGATTTGCCATCCTTACCTAGTACCCGTTTCCTAACAACTGTGTTACTTACTCGATGGTCCCATGATATATGAGCAATGTTTCGAAGACACCTATCATCAAATACTAGTAACCTACGGATATCCTCTACTCTTACCGGTCATGTTTCACTCCCATAAAGTAGGACGGAACGAACTGCTGCGCAGTAAACACGTCCTTTGGTTGATAGACGGATATCTCGCCTACGCCATAAATGACGCAAGTTGGTAAAAGCTAGTCGAGCCTTTTTTTTTTTTTTTTTTTTTTTTTTTTTTTTTTTTTTTTTTTTTTTTTTTTTTTTTTTTTTTTTTTTTTTTTTTTTTTTTTTTTTTTTTTTTTTTTTTTTTTTTTTTTTTTTTTTTTTTTTTTTTTTTTTTTTTTTTTTTTTTTTTTTTTTTTTTTTTTTTTTTTTTTTTTGAACATGCTTGCATTGTTGCTTAGAGTGGCCAGAAGACTCTGCATTTTGTCAGTGTCTTCACCAAATAAAACGATGTCATCAGCATATTCTAAGTCAACAAGTGAACCTCCTGGTAGAAGTTCAACCCCTGTAAATTTAGATGAGGAGAGTGTTATCTCTAAAAGTACGTCAATGACAAAGTTGAACAAGAATGGGGAGAGTGGACAGCCCTGACGAACACCACTTGAGGTGATCAATTCTGATGACAGTTCGCCATAAGCTCTCACTCGACCAGTTGTGTTCGAGTAGAGAGCCTTTATAAGGTTAATGTACTTCTTTGGTACTCCTTTCAGTGACAAACACTGCCATAGAACCTCACGATCAATCGAGTCGAATGCCGCCTTAAGGTCGAGAAATACTACCATTGTGGGGCGTCTGAATGTGTGTCTGTGTTCTAGAACCTGACGTAGTGTGAATATCTGATCTATACAACCACGTCCAGGTCGAAAACCAGCCTGGTTTTCTCTAGTCTGCTCTTCACGAGCTTTAGTTAGGCGTCGAAGTATTATTGAAGCTAATATTTTAGACACTATATTAGTCAAACTGATTCCTCTGTGATTGTCACAAGAGGACTTTTGTCCTTTCTTATAGACTGGCACAATCAGTGATTGAGACCAGTCAGATGGGATTACGTCCAGTTCCCAAATTCTACCTAAGACCTCAGTTAATCTCATTGCTAATACTGGACCACCATCCTTAAAAATCTCAGGAGTAAACCTGTCAGGGCCTGCTGCTCTCCCTCGTTTCAGATTTCCTATGGCTTTTTCAACTTCGTAAAGGGACGGAGGACCTACATTAACTTGCCATTCAGGTTGACTGGAGATCGTGGGAAACCGAAGTGTGGCTGAAGGCCAGTTGAACTGATCCCTAAAGTGTTCTGCCCATCGATCCAATCTCCTGGATTGAGAATGAATAATATGTCCATCTTTCTCTGAGATTGTTTCGCTAACGGTCGGGTTCCTAATTCCGGTTTCCTTAACGAGTCTGAACAATTGTCTGCTATTACCTATTGCCGCTGCCTTTTCCATCTCTCTTGCTTTCGCTACCCACCACTGTTCGCGATCATTGCGTAGACTTCTTGTCAGCTTGCGCTTAAGCTGACTCCGCTCTTCATTATGTTCAGAGCCAGGTGGAATGTGTTTCCGAGCATCTATCAGTGAGATAGATGCTGCTGAGATCCAGTGTTGCTCCCTAACCTTCTGGTTTACCTTACTAGCAGATATCACTGCTGTTTCCACAGCTTTTCGGATATCATTCCATGCTGCATCGGGGTGGGCATCACATACATGGCTGCCTAACTGTTTTCCTAGTTGTTCCTGAAATATACTCTTAGCTTGACTATCATTAAGTAGGGCCTAAGAGGTTTCCTTGCAGGATCTTTCCTACGTCCAGTAAGACGCAAGCAAATACGCGCTCGCACTAGAGCATGATCTGAATCTAGGCATGTGCTCCAGAATGAGCGACAGTCTTCTATCGAGCCCCTCCATCGGTGGCTGATAGCGATGTGATCTATTTGGGTCCAACGTTGGGACGAATTAGGGGGTCGCCATGTTAAAAGATGTTTTTCCTTATGCTTAAAGTTAGTATTTGCAAGGAACAGGCGGTTATCTGAGCATAGCTGCAACAGACGGTCGCCATTATCTGTTCTTTGAGCCACGACACCATAAGATCCACCTAGGTGTCTTTCCTTATCACTTAGTTTGCCTACTTGAGCATTAAAGTCACCGGCCACTATTACTACATCCGAGCGCCTAGCTTTTCGGAGAAGGTCCGAAAGCTTTCTGTAAAACTCATCTTTTACATCATCTGAGCTGCAGTCAGTGGGAGAATAGGCAGAGACGACGAAGAGGCAACGACGAGTGTCCCTATCTTTCCGGATTCTTACTGTTCCGTTCAGTCGGACAGCGCACAAACGACTGTCTATTGGGATCCACTCTAAGAGAGCTAGTTCTGCCCTAGGACTCAATGCTATACCTACGCCGGCGAGGCCACGGGAAGCAGAATCAGGGCTTCCAGATACACGAAGCGTAAATCGAGTCGGTTCTTTATTTTGGCATGGTGAGGTCAAATGAATGACGCTACTTGGATCCTGTATGCGCGTTTCGGAGACGCAGCACACATCGATGGCGCGAGATTCTAAAGTTTTAGCTAAGGAAGCCTGCTGTCCTATTTGGCAAAGTGTTCGTACGTTAAAAGCTCCTACGTGTAGTTTAGAGCGTGGTTTCAGGAGACCAGGAATGGCGTTCCACGTACTCGAATCGTTTGCCCTAGCGGTGCGAGGTGATAAAGAGACGTGAGGAGGGTTAGTCATGGAGATAAGAGAGGTATTAGGAGGTGTAGGAAGGATTTGAATGTGACCACCTTGGTCTCTTGTGCTGTTACGGGTATGAGGGCTGATGTCACTTCCCGGCTGCCCACACCGTGGAAGGGTATTTCTTGAGGAACCTGAAAAGGAAATTGGATTAGTGTTGGTCTTGACGACCTGGGAGCGTGACCGCAGAGCCCAAGGGACAACTGCTTGAGGCCGGTCGCGCACGGCCTTTTTGTGGAAGGTTTTTGACGTGTTAGCTCCGTTCTTCAAGGGGCCTTACCGCCGGAGACGGAAATCCGTGAGGTAAGGTGAGGTGTGCCATTTTTAGGGTCGACCTTTTCTAACCCCACCCCTCCTTGTGGGAAGGCAGCATCGCTGTCATGCTGGTTGTCCGAGGGAAACACCTTACTGCTGTCACACCTCTCTACAGTCAGCAGTACGACTTCGCCCTCAGACCTTGAGTTGCTGCTTTTAGTCTTACCGTTCGCCAATCGACCTGCCTGGCATGGTAGAACCTGCAGGAACATATGTTCCAGCCAATATAGCTCGGTTGGGTCATCACGATAGGCAAGCCCGATCACCGCGTCAAGGTAGCAGCTTCGATCGGGCATTTATCATAAAACTACATTACATTTCTAATTTTAGCTAATTTGTTATATTAGTCAGATAGTGTCTCTTATCTGACATAACTGGACTGCACTGGTCACAGCTTCTTATTAGAACTCTAGGAACAAGTTCTAGAAACTTGTCGCTAATGAACATATGATCATTATTAGTGTAGATGGTCTATCAAGATTGT